ATTTGCTCCCCAAAAGCAGCAAAGCGGCCGCATTGCCAAGGCCTCCCAGCCCTGTTGGGTTCCCCCGGAGCGTGTCGGCGCTGCCGGGCAGGGGCCGCCCGGGACTGGGGTTCCTCCCCTTCGTTACCGACTCGGGGGCGCTGGGATAGGCGATGCCCTTGACCAGAACTTGTCGCCAGCGCGCTGCTGTGCTTTGTGCTGCGCGTCTGCCGCCCTTCGGTGGTGCTGCATGTAGGAGAAGGCAGAATATTACAGGATTCTTTCTTGAAACTCAGCATTTAAGATATCAAGGTTTCTGTGGCGTTATGTTGAGCCTTGTAGCTTCTGCATTAAGAACAGTAATGAATTCTGACGGGTATCTTTTGTTAGGGGTGAATGTGCTGTTCCTTTGTTCCCTGCTTTTCTTCAGCACGATTCTTTCAGCCTTCAGTCCCCTGTCAGTGTATCCGTGCACATGGCCGGGAGCGGCTGCGGCGGCGTTTGAGGGTTGGTTCCACATGAGTGTGATTGTAGTGAGCTCTGAACTGCTCTGGATTGATGGATTACTCGGTTTGTAAGACTCAAGGGTCTTAATAAATGGATAGACACGGTTTACCCAGATCCCCAAATTTTGCAAAATCATATTCTGTGCGGTTATATGAGGAAGAATGTAGGGAGAAAATATTTTTGCACGCATCTCTCTTGTACTTTACTGCACCTCGCGCTGTTAGGTGGTTACTGTGTAGATGTGGAACAGGATGTGGCTTGTTTTAGTGTAACTTTAAAATGCCTTTATTCCTAGCAAGCTGCACAGCTTGTCTGTATGTAGCACTGTTATAATATTTAAAGGAAAATAACTATTAAAAGGAACAGTCCTTAAACTTGAGTATACGATGTAATCTGTTCTCTTCTCGAACGTCTGGTACATTCTGTGTCTTCCAGGTGTTCGGTTAGGGGAGCTTAAGGGTGTTGCTGTTTTGGTTGCCAGCCTTTAAACTCCTTGAGCTGAACTTGCCTGGACTGTGAACTGTCTTTAATTGCAGCGAATGGGCTAGAGAGCGTTGAGTTATTCCTTCAGATCTTCACAGCGTGCCACGCAAAATGTAACAGCTGATTTTGCTTGTGTTTCTGACTGCGTGGACTCTTTCACCTGATACCAGCTGTGCAAGATTAAGCTGCAAAAGGAATGACTTTATAAAGATTGTACAATGCTATGAGAGATATTTATAATGGAGAATAAAGGTGTAAAACTCATCATAAATATATGGAATACTGTGTCATCGTTATTATTTCCTGTAAATATATCTTTCCTACATTGAAGAATAATACCAGTAGTGTATCAAATCAGATTATTTTAACTGTTATTTAGGTGATGTTGACTGAGGCAGCGTTACCTTCTGAGAGAGAAGAGCTGGAAGGTTACCAAACCCAAAAAGGAGCGTGAGTCAGCAGATGCGCCGCTGTCCAGGGGCAAACATGAGTCAGCACCGGCTGAGCGCTCTTTATCCTTCTGGAGGGCTGTTCCTCTGCACCACTTACCTTACTTGACCAAGGCTGCAGTGCCAGCGTTGGCGAGTCTGTCTTCAGCATTGCTACGCCAGTTTCTTCGAAAAACTGAGAACAGAGAAGAAAAAATTCTGCAAGTTTAAAGAGAATAATTCATTTCTTACTCAGGTTGCAAAAGAATCGTGAAGGTTTACTGAAGCTAGCACATCTGCTTATGTAGGGATACAGACGCGATAAAGGCAGGCATTGGTCTTACACCTAGATTGTCACACCGGTGTTTGGCTCCCTAGGATAAAACCTGAGTTCTCATAAGGCAAGGGATTGGAGAGGGGGGAGGAGGAGAGGCTTAAAAAAGTCTGTCAGAGTGGCACAGAGGGTTATCTGAAAGTCCCGTCCCTACACCCGTAACGGCCTCTACGTGCCAACCCAGAGAGCAGGAACCAGGGCGTCTCCGCTGCTCGCTCGTTAGCGGATGGTGAAGATCTTGGATGAACTATTTCTCATTTGAAGTGGTGCCTTCAAGGAAGAAAAAAAAAAGTACAAAAGAAAAACCATAGAAAAGATGATCCTTAAACTCTGTGGGGAAGTGGGTGCGTGAGTGGCTGAACCGAACTGCAGAGAACCCGGCAAGCAGAACGCTTGTGCGGTGCAGAAATACAAAGTGAATAATGGTCATTTTTGTGCAGAGGTTGCCCGGGCAGGATGTATCTTCCCCGACAAGCAAGAATCTTGAGGAATGGGACAAAAGAGTTTGAAGAGCAGCAACGACCGGCTGTGAAACTCCTGCAGTTCGCATGGAGGTTATTTTTCCCCTTTCAGATGGGAGAGGATTAAGTCGCCGTTCTTTGTCTTTCTGAGGGGACGTGATGGTTCCCATAGCAAGAGTCTAAAACTTTTGTTTGACCACAAAATTATTTGATTCCTTTGAATCCAGATAATCCAAAGCCTTTCTGTCCCCTTACTGTTGGGAAATAAAACTGCTTTCCAGTCCAATTTTAATTATAATCATCCTAGGACAATTTTATCTAGTGACTAATGAAATAACCTCGGAAGATCTGGTCTGAAAGGAAGAGCGTGGGCTGCGGTACGGGAGGCTGTAACTCGGGGTACCCAGGCAACAGCATTGGCGTGAGACCTCCCAGTACCACTTGCAGTCTCAAGCTGGGAGAAGCTCCCTCAGTTGGCAAGAAATAACAATAATAATAAAAATTCCACGTAGGGCGGCAGTCAACCCCCTGAAATTGTGAACTAGGAAGGTGAGTAAATAACCCATTTTACAGGTGAAGAAACTGAAGCAGAAGGGATTTTAGTGGTTTGGTGGAGGCGATAAGGGAGCCGCTAGAGCAGAGTTCACAGCTTCACGTGTTCAACATTTGCTGCTCTCTGCCATTTGTAGTTGCTCGGTCATCGAGCTTGGCACTGCTGGCTTTGTGTACACGCAACACCCGTTGTAGCTGAGCAGACCCCAGGGTGACCTGCGTTCCCAGCTGCCGTTACACTGCTGCGTGACTGAGTTGGTACAACTCCTTCCTGATCCAGGTCCTTTGTACAACTTGGCCTCATTTCTCAAGCGCATGTGATGGATACTGAAGAGGAAACATCAGAATGACCCTCTTGTTTCTCTTGCCTTCAGGGAAACATTCTCCAGGGTTGGTGCTGATGTTGCTGTCACTGGTTTCTCTCCCTCAGTTCTTTTTCTCCTTTCTCTTGTATTATTTTACAATTTCAGGGGGTTGACTGCCGCCCTACGTGGAATTTTTATTATTATTGTTATTTCTTGCCAACTGAGGGAGCTTCTCCCAGCTTGAGACTGCAAGTGGTACTGGGAGGTCTCACGCCAATGCTGTTGCCTGGGTACCCCGAGTTACAGCCTCCCGTACCGCAGCCCACGCTCTTCCTTTCAGACCAGATGATTTTCATCTTTCGAGGTTATTTCATTAGTCACTAGATAAAGTTGTTCCCCAAATACTTCTTGTTGCAAGCCGTGCTTCTGCCAGGCTTGCGGCCACAAATAGCAATATAAAGCGTGCCGGGCTCGTGACCCTTTTGGTAACAACCACAACTTGCAAATCTTCCTCTGTGAACTGCCCTAGGTGAACGCTGCCTGTAATGAAACGTGGGGACTGTTACGGGTCCCTGTTTTGGGATGTGTTGAAGAGAGAATCTTTTCTGTCAGTTTTGGAATTTTTCTTTTGTTTCCAGCATTGTTGAAAGCACGAGTTATTGGAAGAAGCCCTTCCTATGTTGAAAGACGTCTAGGAATATTTAATTGGTAAAAATGTTGAAAATACTTGCGATGAGGTAGTGAAAGAAGCGCATGCGACAAAACCAACTTCTTTGCTGATTCTCCGTGAAAATCTATTGTTCCCTGGTAGTCTGCCTGGTTAGATGTCACGTGTGATGAAGGCGCAGGACACATTAGCCAAATACTCACCAATTTTTCCTAATCCCCGTCTTGAAGAAAATACTCGGTGCCTTCAGATGCTCCCTAGTGAAAATCAGGGAGAACTTGAAAAGATAGTTACATGTAAAATAAGGAAGAAATATCTCCCAGCGTTCCAGATGGATCCAGAGTTAATTGTATTAACATTATATGACAGGTTATCTAGAAAGTGCGAACAATACTGGAGCTACAGCGTATGATGTGGGGCGTAGCCACAGAAATCCAGTTTGCTCACCATTTCCTCGCACGGTGTATTCCACTGGGACACAGGCCACGGCACCTTGAAAGCATTCTGTACCTTTTTCTAAATAGAAGGAATAAAATGCCTGCGATTTACGCCCAGAAGCTCCAGAACCTCGCAAGAGGTAGACAGACCCCCTCAGGTCTGGTAGGTAAGTCAAAGCCAGAGCTCATCCTGCATAGAGGGGGGAAATTATTCCAGCATTCAGGAGCCTGGGGTAGCTGCCTTCATCTGTTAATGGGGAGTGTGTTTTTGAAACGCATACAATTCAGCCTGCTGGCTTCAAGATAACCCGTGAAGTCTTAGAGATTCGACCCAAGGAGAAAGTAGAGGGAGTTGCAACTACAAAACAAGCCTTGGACAGAACAGGGGGCAGTTAATGGTAATAAAAAAGCTCCTGTTCCAAACACGTATTGAAAGTTTGTGGATAGTGTTAATATTCTGAATTAGACTTATTTTCTATAATATTTTTTTTCTTTTTACATACGGTGTTGAGAGAATAGGACGCTTGGAGATCGGGGGGAAGAAAGGGAAATCTCTGTCTTTTTAACTGAATTTAGTAGGCGCAGCCTGTGGCTTCTGCCCCTGGCCAAGCCAGAGCGCCGGCAGCTGCTCGAGCAACCTGTAGTTCCCTGCAGCTGCTGGAATTGTTTGGGAGTGTCTGCATTGCAGCGTGCTGGGAGATTTGGGATGTTTTCAGCCAGAGGGGACGTGCAGCCGGCAGGATAGCGCGTGCCATGAGAGGGCCAGAGGCTGGGAGGATGGCATGGGATCGCAACCACAGGCTCCGAGGTGGGGCTTGTGCAGCCGTGGTCGGATGGGTGCAGCTGGCAACAGGGACAGGGGAGGGTTCCTTGGTCCCAAATGTGTGTGTGACACTCTAAAAGCACAGATGCATTGGCCCCTAGCAACAGCCACAAATGGAAATGATAGAAATGATAGAAAACAGAAGAGAAAAGGAAAAGAAAAGAGGTCCTGATGCCTGGGGAGCAGGGGAGAAACCCAGAGAAGTCCCATTGAAATCGGAAGGCTCCGTTCTGCTCTTCCTCCTCTACTTGTACAGCACTTTCCCCCCCAAACTGCAGCCCCTTTTGTGCCCCAGTGCTGGTGCAAAAAAAAAAAACGCCTAAAAAAAAATGCTGAGCCTGTCTGGGATACCTCCTCCCTTTGCTGTTTGCCTAAAACTGCTGCAAGGTTTGGGGTTCGGGTTTTACACCTCGGCCTAGCTAAGCCAGACCCCAGACCCGGCCCTGCGGGTGGGCACGGCCTTGAAATGGGTGGTTTAAAAAAAAAAAAAAAAAAAATCAATGAATTTGCTTATTTCTGCTTTCAGCAAGGGAAAAGGCAGTTTAGCGCATCTAGAGCAGACAAGAAAGGGAGGAAAAGGAGGAAAAAATCATCTTTTGCCAGAGCCCGGCTGGGTGTGTCTCCTCGCCCCCCCCGCGGTGGGTCTGTGTTTCTGGCAGGCAGTCTTGCCTGGGAGGGATCTGCCGTCAAAGCCACCCAGGAAAGGAGGCCTGATACGCTAATTAATATTCTGAACTAGTGACCCTTCTTTTTCTTTCCACCCCTTCCCTTTCTCTGGGCTCTCCAGCCTCTCCCTGCCGCGGATGGCTGCAGCCCCCTCCAGCTGAGTCAGTCCTCCCTCCCCGCAGCATTGCAGCACCTCCGCAGCTCCCTGCGCTCCTGCTCCTGCAGCACCCGCTCCGCTCCCGCCGCAGCAGCATGGCCAGCACCGTCTCAGGTAGGACAGACATCTTTTGGGGGGGTTTGTCATCAACCCGCTTATAGAACCATCAGGTTTTCTTTCTTTTATCATTATTCTGAGGGTTTGGGTTTGTTTTTTTTTTTTCCCCCGTGCGTTTCGGGGGAGTTCTCTGATGAAGAGGCAGCTGGTATGGCAGCATTGTTCCCCTTCCTCCCCCATACACCCCCCCCACCTCTGATGCAAGATAGCAGGTGGGCTTTTTATTTTAATATGAATACACATGTGATAAACTTGCCAATTTAAAATATTGCTGCCGTTACATTGTGCCATAAGAAGATGCTGCTGCATGCCAATTAATTGTTATTTTTGTAACGTGATACAGCTTTTTTTTTTTTCTCCTAAGAAAAATGTGCACGCTGTGTAGCTGGATGCAGAGAAATCAGCAATTACGTTTTGTTTTGTGAAGATCATGTATTGCCTAAATGAGTAACGGAAAGAAAGACACAGGCAAGAGACTGACAGTAATGCCCTAGAAAATCCCCCAAACCCAACCAGAATAGCCTGGATGGGTTTCTGCGTATTCTCAGGGCTTCCCATCCCCAGATTTCTTCCACAGCTCACATTTCTTCATTAGAAGATGCTACAGGGGAGCGGTCCTCTGATGGCGTTGGGTGAAATCAAATGCTGCAAGGGAAGCCCTTCCTCCCTCCTGCAGCAGTAACGGGAATCACAGCGCGGCTGCCCCGGAGCCTGGCGCCGGGGTCGGGTTTGGCTGCAGGATAGCAGTCTGCCCTGAGGATGCTGTGCTCCTTCGGTCCAGCCATTTCCTAAAGATGTGTCTTGCCCCTTTTAACTGGGGAGGAGGGATTCAAATGGCTGAAACTGGGAACGTGGGTGAAGGAGAAGAAAAGCCTGAAATGGTACAACAAACAGTGCGTGGGTTTAGAGGGTCTTTTTCTTTAAAAAAACAAGTTTTCTCTTGAAATGGCTGTGAATTCTGCAGTGCATAAAGAGGGGCTTGGGCAGGGGAAGCTAAATCCTGGAGGGCTGGGATGTAGGGCTGAACAGGAACAGCAGACAAAAAGGAAAAGCAGGCAGTGCTTTGTGCCCCCCCCCCCCCCCCCCCACCCCCTCGCACCCCGCACGCAGGGCCTACCAGCACGGCAATGCTTCTTGCTTCTTTCACTGGCCTTTGCCCGTGTCTCCTGCTGTGCATTTTCTATTCCTTTCTCCTTTTAAAAGACCAGCAGACGCAGGGGAGGGGAGGACAGAGCGATGGAGGGGTGGGGGGGCGGTGTAAGGGTGCAGCTGATCCCGAGTGGGCTTTGCATGCAATTAAAGACGGTAGAGCAGCACTGAAAAAATGTGTCTCTATGATAGAAAATCTCCAGCTATTGTATATATTTCTGCGAGTATCCCTGTCTCAATGAACGTGTGCGCCAGTGCACGCTCGGGAGGTCCCACCCATCTGCCTTCCTCTCCTACAGAACAGGATTGGACCTCGTTTGCAGAGTGGGGGTGGGAGGGACGGCTCAGGCTTACCAGCCATCTAAACCAAGGTTGCATCGAACTTGAGATGGACGAGGTGGAGGATGAAACACGCGTAGGCACAACATGCATTTTCCATTTGGTGCATTCTCACCCTCCCAACCCACCACATGCCGATGGCATATTTCATCTTCCCAGAGATGCAGTTTTACTGTCAAAGGAGACTTAAGATCATGAAGAAGCGTGTGCTCCAGAGAAACCGCACTTCCTTCTGGCTCAGATCAAGTAGAGAAACAATTTCAAGGAGTAGAAAGTCATGGGAAACCAGGGCTGTGGCAGGAGGAAAGAGAATAGGGGATTGTTTGCCAAAGGAGGGAGCGGGGCTGAGCCTCGCCCAGCTGCCTTTGCAGGGAGCAGCTCCCCATCGCCTATAGCACTTAGAGCTGGAATGGAGAGTAGCCTGGAACGGCAGGAGAAAAAGGCAAGCAAATCCTTAAATTAAGGAAAAAGTCTTGTTTGCTTTCTTCTTTATTTTCTTCTTTATCCGCAGCAAAAGCAAATCCGTGCTGAAGGGAGAGTGGCTGTAATTGTCTGCAGCTGATGCCCGGGGGCTTATCCCCCTCGGGAAGATTTTCTTGGGTTTGTTTAAACAAACAAACAAATCCCTGGGATGAAAAGAAACGGGGCTCGCTTCCCCCAGCCCAGCAGTCACCTCTCTCTTTCTCCCTGCCACCTCAGGCTTTTTCTCCTGGCCGTGGTGGTTGTTTTCGGTGCTAGAGCAGAGGACGCGGCGGCACATGCTCAGTGCAGGCTCAGCTGCGGTGCTGGCCAAGCCGCCGGGCAGACCTTGCAGGGGCAGAGCCCTCGCACCTCCTCCCCACAGCATCCGCACCAAGCTTTGTGCTTTTGTACACCGCGGAAGGGGTGTCTGGCTGGACTCTGCAGGACTATGTGACTTTCCCCACCATTTCTAGGTATCGGGGTTGAATAAAGAGACGCGATATTCTGAAATGATGCAGTAAGGTGACAGCCTCATGGGCTTTTCTCTGCCGTTAGCCTGTCTGAGAAGGTGGAGCCAAAAGGAAACGCCGGTTTGTCATTCCTGGCCTCACGACTGGGCATGGTAAATGTGCCTTGATAGATCCCGAGATTTTCTCCTCCTACATTGAAATGTGAGAGTCGTGTGACTTGATGTACGTCTGGGCTATCCCCTTCATCTCTTTTCTGTATTGGTGGACACCATATGGTATTGCCCTTTCCTGACACTTCTGCTGCTCATGCTGGAGAGTCACAGTCCTTTCTGTCAACCTCTCCATCTCTCTGCAGTCTCAAGAAATCACTATTTCCTTTCTCTTCAGATGTTGATGGCGTGTATACGGTCCTAGAAATTTATGGTACTTTTATTGGGACTTCGGTTTTCCAAGCCAGGAGAACCTATTGTAGGCATTTAAAAATTTATTTATTTTTACCACTGTATCCAAACGAGGGATCTAACTCCTTAGAAAACATTTGTTCTTTCTAAAATATAAATCATATCTTCTTTGATGGTACCATGTAGAGTCTGTGAGGATCCCTCAGATATCTCAAGAAAGGGCTTTCCTGGAGCCCATCAATGTTGGTTCAGATCCAGTGAAGGCACTGTTTTATCAGATGAACACATTCTCCTTCTGCAGAGGAAAAGCTGAGGTTTAGTGGTCTGATGTGGCAACTGGAAGGCTGCAGAGAAGACATTTGTGACAGCAGCGTGGGCAGCAGGATGGATTGCAGCTTCAAGCTTTCTTACGGTGAACGGGGCTGCTGATTCTTGATGATAATACTTGGAGGGACCTGAAGCTCACTAAAACTTCTATACCCCTAAATTAACCGGAAACAACATGCCTGCCTAATCCCTCCCATTTGCCCTACTGACATGGGCTTTATCCTTCCTACATTTTAAAAAAAAAGTCTCCTATCCAGAGGGGAGTTAAACTGATGGTCAAATCTTTGGCTGTGATTTAGAAATACAGAAGAGCTAGAGAGCAACCAAAGATCATGTGCATGTGCTGTAGCACTTTGGCACATCCCAACTGGTGAAGAGCTGCTCAGCATATTTCCAAACAGTCCTTTTATTCTTTCAAGGTACCTCTACGTGTTTAGTGCCGTACTAGAGGACCTTATGTTTTCTGAATGTGTTTATACACATAATATCACTGTACAATGGGTAACTACAATAATCCTCAGTTAATGCAAAGGAAACCAAGATCCAAAGAGGCCAAATGACTGTCTGTGGTCACACAGCGTGTCTGCACCTGCCTCATCATGCCATTGGTCTCCTGTCTTTGGCTGTCCCCAGCTCCTTTGTAGCTCTTTGTCTCTTCCAAACCTGACCGTCTGAACCTATGTTTGCCCCAACTCCACAAACGCTCTGGGACAGCTGCCTCCACTTGGCTTCTTCGTCTGCTTTATCAAGCAACCCAGGCCATGCTTCTCTCCTTCCTGACAATCGGTCACCCACCCAGCCCAGGCTGCACAGCTTGGGCCCTTTTCTCTTGCTGAGCCCGTAGAAGAGGAGATTTCCCTGCCTGTTTTCCTGAGGGCAGCCCGCATGTTCCAGTGCCACAGCTTGAGTGATTTGCTAATCCATTGGCTGTGCATAACACGGCTTGACGTGGCGTTCATGAGCTGCAAATGAAACCTAGGAGGGAAGGAGCCGGGTGATTGGAAACCGTTCCTGGCTGATAGTTTAGCAGATGTCCGACAGAAGGCAGAGTAACCCTCGCATCTGCCTCTTCTCATGGATGATTCCACATGAGCCCACGGTAACTTCTGGGCCTCAAATTTCATGGTGAGCAGCTGAGATGGTGTATGGCATCAGTGTGGGGTACAACCGCTGATCTGAAAAGAAAACCCAAACCACTAGTGTTTTCTGGTTGTGTGAGCTCTCTTGCTAACCTGTTTATGGAAGTTGGGGAGCGAGAAAATGGAAGTGAGTTAGACTGGAGGGAAGGTCTGGCCGTTATTTTTATGATAGGATTCATAGCAGGTGAGAATGTCTACAGTCTGTTGCACTCTCAAGGCTCATCGAGGACTATGGTTGCTTTTGTTGTGTATGTGGCATTGCAGCCTTTGTGCTGAAGGACTCGGTTCCCTGTCTCTAGCTCCTCTACCTTCTCTATGTTCTGTTTGTGCTTTGGCTACATTTATAACTGGACTGTTCTCATTTTTTCATGGTATAATATTCTTTATGGAAGCAATTTTTACTTCTCCAAAGTTATCTTTGCAAACCAAATTATTTTCCTGTAATAACCTTCCTTTGACCTTGCTATCAGACATAGCACATCCAGTCTCATCCATTTAAATTGCCTGAATTCACATAAATTAGTCCTGCTGTGCCTCTGGTTTATTATGAATGACTCTGTATCGGTGCTGTGCCTAAACGGCCTCACTCTGTTTTGCTGGATGTCATTAAACACCGAACAAAAAGACAGGCTGCTCAAACAGTCCACAGTTTAGTTTTAGCTGGTTAGGAAGCAGAGAACAAAACTTTTTAATGAATCATAGGTGGTAAGCCCCACCGTCCGGGCACATAGCGAGCGGGAAGATGGTTCCCGTTGCTTGTGCGCCGCACCCATCCCCAGCTGTTCCTCCATCTCCTGCACTGCAGCCGCTCGGGGAACGGCTGCATAGTGTCTCCGGGGGTTAACTTGGAGATAAACACTTTTCATGGATAAATGCTGTGTATAGTGCTCATGCGAAGCAGCAGGGATATGGAAATGCAGTAGGTGCTGTACAGCACTAGAGGGAGCACAGGAAAATGAGTCACTAGGGAGGAAGCAAGCTGAGAGCACCCTGACCCTCTTGGTGGCTTGGAGAAGGCCCAGGTAATCTCCCTCCTTCTCCTTGCAACAGGGAGAAAGTAATTTTGCCCATGCAATATATACAGTGCAGAGGAAAGCTAGATGAAAAATTTTAATAAAGATTAATTGTTGCATGGGGTGTGCAATGGAATATAAACAGAGCAGGATCAGACTGTGCCGATTACTGGGCATAAATATTCAGAAATACTGCGCCACTGACTGCGCAGATTAATAGCTACCCAAGGCCTCACGAAGCCATTAAAACGCAAGCTTACCCCACTTCACAGGACGGGACTCTGATATATTTTCTATACCTTCTACAGTTTATTCACTTCTTAGTTTACAAAACTCAGTTATTTGTAATGTTTCACCCCAATTCTAATATAGACTAGGCTAGGCTAGAATAGAATAGAATATTTCAGTTGGAAGGGACCTACAATGATCATCTAGTCCAACAGCCCGACCAATTCAAGGCTGACCAAAAGTCAAAGGATGTTATTAAGGGCATTGTCCAAACAGGAAAGCGGTGAAGTGTTACGACTTAGCGATGAAGACCATACCAGACTGAATGAACTTGGTACTGATCCTCCTATTGCAGTGTTTGCCTAAAAAGAAATGTAAAATATCAGTATTCCACACTTGAGTGAGCAGCCTGTCCTAATCTCCTACCTGTCAGTGAGACAAAGCTCTTGTTGCACCTCCGAGACCAAAGTGATGCTTTGGTATAAAGTCCCTTAGGAACTGCGGCAGATATCCTTGCTAATTTATACACATATACAGTATTTCTGCTGTGTAAGCTGAATTTATTTTTACTAACTTAGCAGAAGTAAAAAATGCAAATAGATGCTTAAATAAGAAGTTCAGCATTTCCTGTCTAATTGTTCTTGAAATGTGTAAATTGTGCACTGGAAGACATACAGTCTTTTCTGGAGGGGACTTGTTGGCCATGTCATGTTCTGGCCAGCCAGCTATCTTGGTGCAAGGATTTTGTCCATTGGCATAAATATGTCCTCAAAACCTTTTATCTGCTGAGTGCAGACACTTCTGAAGTAAATTTTAGTGCTGAGGTTTGCATTGCTGATCTTTTACCCCGGAGGGTTTTAAGCATGCCCTTTCTGATGCAGCTGTGATTGAGACGTAGTCTTGCTTCAGGAGATCTTGGGTTTGATCTTCATTGACGCAGTCTCCTAAATAGTGACGCAGAGGTTATGTTTCTTACTTTTATTTCCTGAATCAGAGGATCTACCTCTCCTCACAGGATGCCTTTTCTTATTTTAACCCATTAACAGTGTGTTGGACGCACGTGCCGCCTATTGTTTGTCACTGAACAGGTCAGATCAAAAGCGCACGAGGACGAGGGCATCGCTGTGGATGCTTCTGTGTCCCACTGGTGTAA